TGCTTGTGAGTGTTAACTTCTCTAGACCTTCTTTCCTCATTCTGTGTCCCAGAAATTTCAATTGTTTCTTTCTGATTGTAAGTATAAGTTTCCTGATAGTTCTTCTTTTCCTTAAGACTTCTTTGTTGCTTACATTTTCTGTCCCTGATATATTCAGCATCTGTTGATAGAACCACGCCTGTTACATCAAGCCTCTTCATCTGTGAGGAGATTGTCCAACATTCACTGCTATATAAGAGATTAGATATTACATTATAGTTCAGTGCTTTGTTTCTAAAGATATTTTCCTATCTCTTAATACTTGTCCTATTTTCTGGAAGACATATTTCATTATACTTATGCATCTTCTCCATTAACTACAGAAATCATCTTTTGCATTTCAGTTGAATTTTTACTTTTCATAAAAGCATAATATGCCTAAAATGTCACTTATTTTCTTTTATCTTCAATGTTAGAATCTAACAGAAATTTAGGAATTAAAGAAAAAAAAGCATTCTAAGATCTGCTGTTCAATTCCTTCAGAAATAAACTGTCAGCTATATAGAACTACTTTTTCAGTTTTAAGATGGATTCAAATGAATGAAGCCTGTAGGTCTTGAAGAGGACTGTCCTTTGTTGGATCTTGTAGACCAACACTATAGAATCACAAAGAATTTTACTAAATAACAGAATCTATATCACTTGAGGACTTTCAACTTCAGCAACAACTAAATTGTAACTTGAAGAGAAAATAACATAATCAAAATGATGTTCTACACTACCAAAAACAAAAAGTTAGGAAGGAAACTCCCTATCAATACTGGAAAGAATAACAACAGTGGACCTGGGAAACCTATTTTCCAGAAAAATTATTTTAAGGAGATTTTATAAATTTCAACCGAAAGTAGTACACTGGCTGCTCAGTTAATAAATGCCAAAGGTTTCCTTATAAGAAAACTGCTAATACTACCATGTTTCCACTGCATCTAAGTCCATATTACCCAGCCAATGGGTTGAACTCACAATTAAATTATGATATCACAAAATTCAAGTTTTAATTCATGGAGCTATTGTCCTGTGGGACAATCCTGAATCTAGAACTTGGAGCCTTAATGTTCTTCATTCCTACCTGCTGTTGACATTACTGTTGCTATTATACTTGACTATATTTGCTGCTGCTTCTCTTGCACTCATGGTTTAAAAATCAAAACTTATACATAAAGTCAGTATTTTCTTTCTTTCATCAGTTTCACATGGATGTAAAATCTGATAGAAATATGCACAATTATCTGCTAAAAATTTCTACTCTTTTCTATATTCTCTTAATGATTACATCTGAAAAGAATAGTCATATTATTATCAGATTTCTTTGATCCCCTCATCTTGAAACTATGATGGATTAGAATTTTGCCAACACTGAAAAGGATCAGCCTTCACAGTCTTGACATCCAGACTTCCAATGAGATTTCTAGAATTCAAAATACACCTTAAATTAATTATTTAAAAAGTAAAAAACATGTTCAGTTTTCACATCCCCATCTGGTTGGGTTTTACCCACAATGTATGCTATATTAGCTGGCACGCATTTCAGTTAACCCCTCACCTCTGTTAACTACTACAATTATTATTATTATTATTATCATCATCATCATCTTGTAAGCAGTTAATGTGTAATTAGGTTAGTGAGTTAGGAACCTGAATGCAAATAAAAAGTAGACAAAGGTACATTACTGGTTAGGTTTAAAAGATCTTGATTTGATTATACAAATCTCTAGTTATAACAGAACTTGGGACACTTAAATAAAAAAAAAAAAAAAAAATAGTTGAGCCCTCTTGTGCTATATCAATAAGATAATAAAAAAAAACCTTGATTTCAAGTAGTAAGCTATTTTTTCTGGGATCTATAGAATTTTATTTAGGTCATTTTCACTATCTCTTAGTCATAGAAACTTAAAAATAAAAGATAATAGATAAGGACAAGCTACGATGGAGAAACCTATGAGTAGATATTTAAAAAGCTTGACCTAGTTTGGCACAAGGACACAATCTTCACTATCTATAATTAATAAAATAAACAGGTAAACTTCATTATAAACAAAGATTGCTGAATTCTTATGTACTATAAATCCTCCTATAGATGAAGTGACTGGAGCAGTAGATTTGGTTCTACAGAAGGATGCTGAGAATACCACAGACAGAGCATATGAGGAAGTTTTAAGGAAAACAAAAAACAATTTGTAAAAGTCAGAGTTATAAAATGTTTTTTTTTTTTTTTTTTTTTAAGAAAATGCATAAAGAAAAACAACGTGATCCAAGCATGATAGTTTTGACAAAATACAATGAATAACTACTTATGCAATTTTAAAATGCATCATTAAATAAAATATAAGAAAAATATTTAAGCTGTAATAACAATCAATGTAACAAATTAAATTTGCAATAGACACCTGGCAATGCTCACTCTCAGTTAGCAGTAAAAATTTCAATGCATCAGGCCCAACGGTTTTGCACAAAATGAATGCAGTATATCCTCTATTTGATTCATATATGCCTCAGGTTGTATAGATGCAGAGATATGAAACCAACTGATTATTAAAGACAAAACATTGCTCTACTCGAAGGTGCAATTTTAATTTTTTTTTTTTAAGTGTTGAATTTTTGTTATTTTATCCATTAAAGTTTTCAACTTAATTCTTTGAGAAAGGCAACTTCAAACTTTATCTTAAGCTCACCAAATTGACAAGCGTTTTTTTTGTTTTGTTTTTTTTTGTTTTTTGTTTTATTCCCCCCCCCCCCCCTTAAGATGGAATTATTTTGATGTGTATGGAGATAACACTGAATGCAACAAGTTTTAAAAATACAACTTTAAAAATGCAGGAAGACATGCAATTGTCATTGAAATAGTGACATGATTTAAAGAGACATGGAATAAAAACTAATCATCATACATGAAAAAAGAATTGTATCTTTAAAGAGAAAAAATTAAATTTTGTTTACATACTAATTTTATCAAAAGAAGCTTGAAAAATAAACGAGACACCAGCAGTTGAAATGGAATGAGATTTCACTATTTTGACATGTTTTCGCACTGTAAACTAGGGCAGTTTGGGATACCTAATTATTGTAATGTGTATTACTGTCTAAAGCTCAGTTATAAACAGTGCACTGGTGTTAGTACATTGCAAGATGGATGAAGACTTTGAAAATTTTATATCTAATATCAATAGCATGCACATATTGTATATAGGACAAAAGCAGCATTGTCTTTTGGGGTGTTGTAATTTGATTCTCAATCAATGGACAATGATCCACTCACCTTATTCTCAGTAATATGAATATCAGCTATTCCATTTTCAACAATCTGTACTGTGTGTGTGTGTGTGTATATATATATATATATATATATATATATATATATATATATATACACACACACTTTATTTGGGGATATTACATCAAAACATGTAAAAAAAAAAAAAAATGCTACACAAATGCAATCATGTTTTGTTGTATACTAACACACCTAATCATGCATTAGTACACATCGAAACATGATTGCATTTGTGTAGCATTTTTTTTTTTTTTTTGCTGTAATAACCTAAAATAAAGAATATTGCTCTACTTCTGTATTGAGACCTCTTTTAAATTGAATGTTATGAACGTCAGAAATGGATTCTATTCATTCTCATTTTACACACACACATATATATATATATATATATATATGTTTTAAGGTATGCTATATTTATGGGTGAAAGTGCTTAATATCAGGGGTAGAGCATATGTAAATATTCAAGTGGACATTCAGGTCAAGACCCAGTGGTGACAGTCAGTTTCATGCTTAAATGCAATTTTCAGGCCATGTGCCTGAAGATCGTGTTTAAGCATAAAACAGACTAATGTCACTGAGTGTTGACATGAATGTCTACTTTTATTATTATGTAATTTTCTATGGATGGACATACTCTCTACATTTTTCTCTGCTAAAGAAAAAGATCCATATCATTTAAATAACATTTGAAATAGTAAATACCTTGGAAAATTCCAATTTAATTCATGTGTTAAAAAGTTTTTAAAATATCTCTTTTTATTACACAAATCTTAATAAAATTCAGCAAGAAATCAATTATTTTAAATTTGATTGATTTAAGTAAAGATACCTAAATTGAAACTTAATGTAAAATTATACACTCATGACAAAGGTTTTTACAGATTCATGCTTTACATGACAATATGCAAATGAGATTAATACTAAAATGAGATACCTTTGTATAATTGAACATAGTATTCTGCAGATAGTGGTTCTTTTTTAATGGTACAAATATTGAGTAGTGTAAGCTTTTTTTATGTATTGTAATTGTCAAATATTACAAAAGTCTTTTTAATGGATATTATTTTTAATATTTCAAGTTTTATTCTTTCTTTTGAAAATCTTTTTCTCAGCATTTTTTAACTAAATATTTTCTCATCTAACTTGTCTTCAATGGTATTTTAATGGAATCCACCCATTAGCAAGTAATATTTTTTTTGTTATTCCTTAGATAACTGATGACTAGATTAAATAAATCACAGTAACTAATACATTGGTGCTAAAGTGTTTCTGTTAAATTCTTTAATTTGTCTCATCTATCCTGTGTTGTCTTGGAATGTTTTCAGTTGGTTATTAAGATTAGCTTCGTGCACCACAGCCAGATAAGGAAGAACTGGAAGATAATTACACAAAATATCCAAGTGTAAAGGGTTTGCTTGCTTAGAAAATCAGTATTTAAAATCTAAGATATTTTGCCTGGGTTCAAAAAATAACCTCTGGGTCTTATAAGAAATAGCTATTTCAGCTACAAGAATGTTTTCAATTGGTAAGTATCAGTGGTTTGCTAGAAAATTCATTTTTGGGATTTTTTAAACTTTTTTTTTTTTTTTTTTTCATGTTGTTCTCTCCCCCTCTATTTGTTTCTCTCTCTCTCTCTCTTTTACAATAATTTCTTGCCACTTTTCATAATCTTCATTTTGATTATTTCCAGGACTTTGTGCCTTTTGGACATTCTGAAGATTATCTCGAACTGGAATCTGGAAGTAGAGGTAGCCAAATCTTCGGTTCTACTCTTGGAGTAAATACCAGGGTTTCAAAAGCTAATTCTATAAATATGATGAACATCAGTTGTGATGATGCGGAAGTCATGTTTGTTGATCAAGATGACATAATCCATCTGACTCATCAGGTGAAGAACTTTTCTGATGCACTTACAAAGTTGAAAACTGTCTTCACCGAAGGAACCAGTGAGTACTTGGTTATTTTATCTTTCCCTCACACCTACTTTTTCTCTTTTTATAGATAAAAAAAAAAAAATAATCTACTTCCTGGGGATGACCTTAGTAATCATTTTTTGAATGACTATTCTGGGTAATTAGCTTGCAGTCATTTTTGCTTTTATTGTCATTTTTTTTTTTTCTAATCAATTATTCTGCTGGTTTGTTTATATGATTGTTACATTTTTCTAGCTTGGATCAGAATGTAGTATCTGTCTTATTATTACTGACCTTTCTTTATGCCTTTTGAACAAGAAACCTAAGTAAGAATATTAAAAGGAAGGAATTTAGTGGAAAATGAGAAAGAAATTTAAGGACAAGAGGGTGTAAAGAAGGAAAGATGAGTCTTAAGAAAGATCAAAAAACAATTAAAGGGAACAATTATATATAAATGTTCAATCAATTTCTTGCAAATCTCCAGAGATTTGCACAACACCATTCACCAGGGTCTGATTAGTTCAATAAATCTATTTCTTTGATCCTGATGAGCAGTGTTACATGAAAATCTGACATCAGTCAAGATAAGTTGCTTGTCAATATATTAATTGACTATTGTCACTCTCCTTTTATCTATTGAGCACTTTTGTGACAAAAATTTTACTAACCTTAAAATATAAAATATGTTAATATATATATATATATATATATATATATATATATATATATATATATATATAATATAATTTTGTTTTTATTTTTTTTTTTTAATGACAGATTTTTTTATCATTTTATTTTTAATGGATATTTCTATTTGAGTAGGTGCTCTGTTTATTTATTAAACAATATATTTATTTTTCGTTTATCAGCCTGGATTTTAAAAAAAAATCTAATTAAAGAAAAATTTGTACTCTCCAGCAGGAATTGCACATGTTTCTCAAGGGAGCTACCATTTAGCCCAGCATGCCTTAATGACTTAGCCATGAAGAGCAGTTAGTCAGGCGAGGCCTAATTTTGTGCTTTCAAGCAAAATTTCTCCTGTCATCATGGATCTTTCAAATAAATTAATATAGTGTTCAAGAAATAAACTGAGAACCTACTCAAATAGGAATATCCACTACAAATAATGTTTAAAGTAATAAATGTGTGTGTGTGTATATGTGTATGTGTATATTATCTATTAAAATCAAATACATGTTAACTATAAGCTGATTTAATTTTCCCTTAGAAACTTTATATAGAAATACACAACCCCAGTTGACTAGAACAAGAAAATTGAATTATATACTAAATTTCAAATGTTTAATCTTATAGTCAACTGCAAGAACCAAATTACAGAGAATCAATATCATTTATGAATTCATATGTCCTTTAAGAAATTCTTCCTGATTCAAACCATGTGTGTCAGCCATTGCTCTTGAGAGACCATGGACCTGCCCCCAGAGTTATTCCTCAGCTGCTGATAGCATGTGCAGCATCTGTTAAGGCTGTATAGACCCACATGAGAGTGACAGCCTCACTTGCAATGAAAATGTATGTGAAAGTGCTCTTTCCCGATGTTGCCATGTTGTTTTCTTTCTGTCAGGCATATTTCTCCCCAGCCCTTGGTGTAAATCGAGTTTTCAGTATGAATGATTGTTGGCAACGTCTTCCCACCTCTCCATATCCATTGTCTTCATGTCCCTTTTGCAGGCATCCTTGTAGCAAAGATGAGATTGTCCTCTTGCTGGTTCCCAGTTCCCAGCACAGAAGGACCTTCAGAATCCTCCCATCTGGTATACATGTCCAAGTCAGCAGAGCTGGAGAAGAGCATGTAGGCTGGGTAACTGTACATGGATAAGAACTACGGCATTGGTGGCACGGTCAGACCAATTGATACCCAGTATGCAGAGTAGAGGCACAGTCTCACGGCTGTAGAGCAGCATGCTGACAATGCATACCCTATAGACTGCAGTTTTAGTGTTTGTAGTAAGTAGAACAACCTCTATGTCGGCGTTGATGATTTTGATGGCAGGAGAGTGTTCAACATCTTAGCCTATTACGTTGGCCTTTTCAGACTGATGACAGACTGAACTCTTGGTAAGCTTTTGAAAAATTGTCCATTTAGTTGCTGCAGTTGCTCTGAAGAGTGTGAACAGCATGTCTCTAATGAGCACTTCATGGACTTTGGATTTTGCTTTAAGCTGAGACAAACTGAACAGCCTTCTGTCTGTTCTTGTGGGCAGGTAGATGTCATTGGTTTCAGTTGAAGTCCCAAATGCACATTTCAGCATGAAAACAGAGAAGATACTTAATAATGTAAGTGCAAGCTCACAACCTTGCTTCACATTGCTGCATATGCCAAAAGCCTCAAAATAAGACACCAAATTTTATGACACCATTCATATCCACATAAAATGACAATAATCTTGAGGAGGCTCAGAGGACAACCAATATTGTCAAGTATCTTGAACAAGCTGTCCCTGCTCAGAAGATCAAATGTTTTTCTGAGGTTGATGAAGGTGATGTATAGTGGTTGTCTCTGTTCTTGGCATTTCTCCTGTAGTTGTTGAAGGGAGATTGTGTCAGTCATGGAACCTCTGACTTGAAAGCACACTTGGATTTGGGATATATCCTTTCAGTAAGCTTCTGTATCTACCAAGGACTGCACAGGCAAATACCTTCTTTTAGAAGGGAGATTCCTCTGCAACTGTTATAATTGCTTCATTCTCTTAAATTCTTATAGAGGATGATTATGTTGCAGTCTCTCATATCCTGTGGCACCATACCCTCCTCCCAACATTGACAGAGTAGACATACCATATGGTCAAGTAGAACACTATTTACACACTTGATGCCCTTTGGGAGAATGCCAAGTCCTTGTGCCTTTCCTGTGGGTAACTTGTCAATGGCTCTGCTCAGCTGCCCAGTAGTCAGCAGTGCATCCATCCATGACTGATAGATGAATTATGGTATCTAGCGCATTGTCAGAGATACTATTTTCTCTGGAGTACAATTCCGAGTAGTGTTCCACCCACCACGCCATCTATTTGTGTCCTTGATAATCTCACTTACCCGGGATTTTAGCAGTGATGTCTTTCATTTGGTTGGGCCGATGACTTTATTAATTCCTTCATACATCCCTCCAATGTCACCAGGGTCAAATGATATCTGTATTCTCTTGCACAACATCCTGCTGTCTTCTGTGCATTGTTTCTGGCTATCTTCAAAGCTTGCAACATTGCCTGTGTAGGTTGGTGTTTGTACTCCAATAGTGCAATGCACTTCTTCTTAAACTCGTTTGCACTTGCTTCGAACCAGTCCAGTGTCTTGCTCCTATTCCTCCCAAAAGTGTTCACTGCAGTTATGTAGATGGTATCCCTGACAGCATCCCATCTCTGCTGGACAGTTCCTCTAGGTGGGTTTATGAGGGCGGCATCCTTAAAACGAGATGAATATTGCTGATTTGGTTGAGTTTTGAACCATGGTGGTATTGATATGCTCTGTGCCTGGAGGGTTGGCATAGTGCATCCTCTTTGTGTCTGTTTGGAGCAAACTAGGGAGTGATCTGTGTCAGTGATTGGAAAGGATCATGCTATGAGAACATTTCTCGGGTATCTGTGTCCTGTGAGGATCAAATCTAGCTGATGCTCATGTTTAGAGTGGGGATGTTGCCAGAAGACTTTGTGCTGGGCTTTAGCTTGGAAGTATGTGTTGGTGATGCATAGCTTGTGAAGCACACAGAACTCAAGCAGTCATTGGACATTGTCATTCAATTTACCAACTCCATGCTGTCCCAGATAGCTATGCTATGAGTTGTTCTCTTTTGGAACTGTCTGTATCTTCTTTGATAGTTGATCATAAAACACATCTTGTATGGAGTATAGTGCTGGGGAGTAAGGACTTACAAAGTTGACAGTTCCATCAGCGGTATGTAGTTGAAATGAGTTGATTAGATTCTCTCTGATCCATCGTTGCTTAGTTCCCACCCTGTTGGCTGGGGCTGTAGAATATGCCAACGGCACCTCTGCAGAGGGGTAAGACCCCCCCCCCCATGTGGCATCCTGAGTATAATGATAAACTACATCCGTGTCCAGGGTAAGACAATAAACTACGCCCAACAACAAGCCCTCTGATAAGGAGGTTTTGAGGAGCGTGGGAGCACCTGTTAGGGTCCCAGCTATTGGCAAATAGTTAATCCTGAAACTGAGGTAAAAAGCATTATAAAAGTGTAAAAATAGGTTTTAATGCCAGAAATACTTTGAAAAAAATTATTACCAGAAATTAATTTTTGAAAAAAAAAAAAAAAAACTACCAGCAATATGTTTTTGAAAAAAAAAATATTACCAGCAATACATGTGATTATACTCAAAAATATGAGTAATTAAAAAATGGTTCAAATATATATATATACATACACACCTTTTTTACCAAACTATCACTGGATTTAAAAAATTTTGTTGGCATTAAATGACCCACTGAGGTTGATGTGCCACAAAACAACCAACCAACCTTGCTTAGTTCCACCATCCAACACTGTGCCCTCTGATATTATCCTTGCCATTTTCCCGCCAGAAGAAAGTATACTCTCTTGAAGGGTTACAATGTCCACTTGAAGTCAAAGTAGTTTGTTGTTAATCACCGTTGTTTTGCGGGTGTTGTTAATCTTGCAAAACTCATCTAATAGACCACTTGTAATAGTCTGTACATTCCAACATCCAATTCTGAATGCCATTTTTATTTTTTTTTCTTCAATTCCTTGTTTTGCTTGTTGCAGTATTTGCAGACTGCAATTCAGGACACTTGTATCCTTAAGCCTTATGCACCCAGTGAAGCAGGCTGACTGTGGTGGGACAGCACTTTATTGGCTGAGGCCTGCCCAGCTTGAAGCAGGCAGTATCTGTCCAGTAAGGTGCAATGACCCCCCCCCCCATTGAAATCAACCCCCTGGCGTCTTGCTCTACGCCAATCAGGTGTTGACTTGTAACTGGTAGAATGATGTTTCCTGTATTATGTTATCACAGTGAGGTGACACTAGAGTGTCCTCTTCAGTG